AACCACCAATATACTATCTTCTTATGTATCAACACTTAAAAATAAAACGAAAAAAGAGGAAAATATGGAGGCTTTAAAGCAGGGATATTCAGCATAAAAGTTTAACCTGACTCTACTTTTGCTGCAATGAACGCAAAATCACAGTCACTTTGTCACTTTTCTGATGCAGGAAATAAACAAACATTGATCAGAGCAAGCAATCAGATATCGACATAGAGTGATAAAACACTTGTGGTTTTAAGAACCAAAAACCATCTCAATGTACTTTTACATCTCCTCTTTCAGGCTTCTCTCTGGAGCTCTAGTAACAACAGGTCAGCCAAACTCTTCTGATTGGCTGTCTGTTTTTAGAGTGATCAGATAAAAAATATAGCAGATTTCGGGTAAACACTCAGAGAAACCAAATCTTGCAAGGTTGGATGGTCGGTCCAGGTGGGTGGGGCTTGGGGCGTGGCTGAGGGTGGTGACTGCTTTGTTGTGACATCACAAAGTGACAGAAGTCCTTACGGCTGGTTTGAATGCTCAGTTTCTGAATACAGGCTGTGTGCATTTCTCTGTGGACTGAGGCTTTGATACTTTCACAGTATTAATATAGAGCCTAGACCTGATCTATAATCAAACTACACATGGACATCTGCCTGTATACTATACGGAGCTTTAAGAAGAAGAATCTCTCTCCTCTTTATCTTTATCAATGCTGTTTTTTTTTCTTATTATGAGTCGATCACTTTGGCTCTGTGGATCGATCATGTACAGTAGAAACATTTGTTATTCTTTAGTTTACTTTCAGCTGTTTCTTGCTTCAGGTCAGGACACACGCTTTAGATGATGTTGGGCACAGGTTGTCTCAAACGATTTGTCTTATTGGTTGTCATTCATTAACGTACATTCTTCATTCATTACCCCTGCTGGTAATTGTGACATTTCATTTTCTCCCGTCAACATCAATCATCCACATTAATGAACATCCCAGTCAGATTATTTATCATCAAGCCAAACTGCAAACTGTTCAACACTTAAAGTCACCTGGACGTTGACACAGTTCTGCAACTCTCCAGTTTCAGATCTCCAGGGAGTTTGAAAATAGAAATATGTAATATTCCTGTGAGGCCTCCTCATGTGTCTATGTGCCAGTTTTGCTATTATGTGGCTCCTACAGAAATGTTTTCCAATCTCGCACTATTGTCTAAATTTAGGCCAGCGTTTCTGTCATTGAAGAACTGAGTCCCATTTAAACAAGTGTTATTACAAACATCACACAACTGGTGTGTTCATAAAGCTTTAATCAAAGACATTGGAGCAGTAACTATTATTCTTGCCAAAGAGCAATCAAACTTTCCATGGTGACACATTCGTTCCAAAGCAGCTTAAATCTGCCATTATCACCATTTAGCTGAACAAGCTTTTGCAGGCGCAGCTGTGACAAGAGGAGCTGCTTTGCATTAGCATATGCTATTGTAGCTCAACGCCGGGCAGCGATTGGATTTGAAATTATTGGAGTTTTACTCTGAAGCAGAAAAGGGATTGAAACTTTTCATCACTTTAGTTGCTCTTCTGTCTGTAGATCAGTCTAATGAAAACTGATGGTGATCCTTTCACTGCCACTTTACCCTAAAGACCAAAACTTTAATGCACTTTATGTCTCTTTTGTTGTAGGTACATGAAATATTCGACTGCCACGCGTGCAATAAGAAGTTCATCTCTACAAATCAGCTGAAACGCCACATGATCACACACTCAGGTAGAGAAATGCTGCATTAAAAATGTCACTCCTGAACTTTATGCATCATCTCTGTTTACCTGAATGCATCTCTCTTAATGTTTTGTTGTTTAGAGAAGCGACCGTACACCTGTGAGATCTGCAGCCGTTCCTTCAAGCGCCTGGATCAGGTGACGGCTCATAAGATCATCCACAGCGAGGACAAACCGTACAAATGTAAGCTGTGTGGGAAGGAGTTTGCTCACCGCAACGTCTACAAGAATCATAAGAAGGTGATCATATAATCCACTAGTGAGCTAATTGTTACTGTAATTAGTATTTCACATGTTTATTTATATCCAGCTGATTGGTATTTGCTGAGGAGAGATTCGTTGAAAGGCAGAGACACTTCAAAGCTGGAATTATTATTCAGGCTGTAATCAATCAGGGTCTCGTTGGTGGTGGTTATCTGCAGGGTCTTTGGCCTCCTCCACCCTTGAGGTTCCCCATGTTTACTTTGGGGATTGAGGTGTCACTCAGATAGATAGGTCGGGAACGGCACGGGTGGGGGGGAACGGCACGGGGGGGGCAGAAAAACAGAAGCACTTTGAACTTAAAGCCCCTTGAGCTGCTTGTCCTCATCAAGTCAACAAACCAAGACACAGGCTACAGAGCCTTACCCATGATCCTCTCACATCAACATCCACGGTGAGGCAGGAAGCCCCCCACCCCACACACACATTACAGACACACTGAGGCTGCTCTACTCTCTCTGCAGACCCACTCTGAGGAAAGACCCTTCCAGTGTGAGGAGTGCAAAGCGCTGTTCCGCACCCCCTTCTCTCTACAGCGGCACCTACTCATCCACAACAGTAAGTATGACCTGAACACATCTGCCCACAAGTAAAGCTGCAACAACCAATCATTTACTTTATTTGTCCATTGACAGGAAATCAATTGGCAGCCATTTTGATAATTGACTAATTGACATCCACTCTAGCTACAAGTGACAGTGATGCTAAATGCTAATCTAATGTAACACTAGCACAAGTGGAAAATAGTCACTGGCCCTGTTCAGACCTGGTATTAGAATACAAAATAAACTAAACACACAGTCATATTGCAACAAACTACAGAAGCTTAAATATAAACACGCACAATGACACATAAGCAAGTAAATAAACAAACCTCTCTGGCTGCACATGACTAAGAGGGAATGAATGGACTAAAGATAAATCTTAAAAACAGGCAGTGTGTCAGCTTTTAACTTGAACTTTAAGGGAGTACAAAAATCTAATCTTCAATCTTAATTAAAAATAAATCATTCGAATAATGTGTGCAAACAAACATATGACATAACATAAATGTATTTTTATGGCAGTTAAAGGGCCACATCTGGCGACATTCTTTTGGTAGTGTGAACGTGAATGTGTCCTGGATCTTATTGAAGGATCAACTACTCTACTGACATCCTTTGACACAGTCTGATTAACACAGTTTATAATGAACCAAAATATTTTACTATTTCAAATGGATAAAACCTGATTTCACTGTAGCGCTGTGAGCAGAGCAATGATTCACTCAACCCCTCCTTACCCCACTCTCTCCGTCTCACACACACAAACACATTGACAACGGACCCATCTGTTGGATTGGCTAAAAACAACAACACATACCTGTTAATAAGGGCTGAAGAATCAAAATATGAATTATTTGAAATCGCAATATAGCAATATATAAACCGCAATTTTGGTTTAGACACATCATTTAAAAAAAAGATTTCAATGAAAGATAAAATGCAAAAACTGCAAAAATCTTTCCAACTGAAATCGTGACCCTATAATAGTGGCAATATGATTTTTTTGCATATTGTTCAGCCTTACTGTTTATTTGCATATAAAGCAGGAAGTGAGATCTGATCTGAACTGGTCACTGGAGACATTTTAAAGCAGGTGTGAACTGACGTATTTAGAGCTGACCACCTGTGATCAGATCACTGAAGACACATGTTAATGCAGGTCTGAGCAGGGCCATGAAGTCAGGAAAGTGACTTAGTAATGTGCATTACACAGCAACATTTACCTAAAGTCTTCTAACCTTAGCTAACATTAGCCACCAGAAACCACTGGTCATACCAGACCAAACTTTTCATCTGTAAGAGGAACAATGTGTCATGTTTTCTCTCAGAAGTTGGAGGTGGTCACGATTGAAGTCATTTTTAGAAGCAAAAAACTTCAAAATATTTTAGTTTCAGCTTCTCTGACACGTTTATAAATTGAATGTCTGTTGGTCGGTCAAAAGAAAATATTTTATACATATTTTATACTTTAAGTTCTGGGAAAATGTGTTGGACTTCATTGTTTTCATAGGCTAAATGATTTATCAGTTTATTGACAAGATAATCAGTAGATTAATAGACCATGAAAGTAATTGTTAGTTACAGCTCGACAGAAAGTTAATGTTACCTTTTCTGCTTGTTTTGTACCATACAAAAACTAATCTGATCATTTTTAAAGTGTTTTTTTTTTTTTTTGGTAGAAATGACATGAAAGTAAGAAATTACATTTAAGAACAAAAGTGAAACCCAGTCGTGACGTGTTTTTCAGGTGATAGTCATATATTTTCACCGGCCTTCAAATCATCCTTACCCCTGTGGATATTTCCATTTACAATAGAGATCGTAACTCCATCAAACGTCTCACAAAGGAGACATTAAAGTGTACAGGTTGTCCTGGGCGCTCTAGTCTGACAGAAACTTTCTCCTCGGACAGCTGAGCTGCAGTCGAGCCTCAGCAGGATGCAGCGCTGCTCCTCAAATTGAGCCAGATAACAAAGAGATTGTACAGCTCAAGGCATTTCCTGCCGCTGTCTCCGGAGGCAGGCTATATAACACCAGGACTTGTATTATGTATCAAGTTCTAGACAGTATGTGGGGCGGGAGGATCGAGTATGTGACTTCATTGTACTGCAGGTGAGAAAATGGACACATGCCATTGAGTAAGTGAGTTAATGTTGGAGCAGCACATTGGCTCTGTAGCAACAGCCCAGAGTGAGAAGATGAAGCACAGCTGTCCTGAAACGTTCAGGTGAAATCAAATCACGCCTCAGTCGTCAAGCAGGAATATCTTTCTGAATATCTTGTACTTTTTTATTTGTTCCATGTCAGAGTCACAAAAAACTGCACAAACTCGTCATGAATTATCTGTTTTAATGTCACATGATTGTGAGATTTGATCATCAGCCTGATCGAGAAACGTAAGGCTGCCCGTTCTGCTCTGTTTCTGGAGTTTCACTAACAAAATTTTTTTTAAAAAGTTAATGGAGGAATTTCACACCGCAAACCTGTTGTTGTATTAGAGGAGATGAAACAATTAGGTATACAGTAAATCGTTAATATAGCTGCCAGTAACATATCGTCAGAGCAGCATTGTAACATGACAGAAATAAAGACAGATTGTTATTATGGGGATCAGAATTGCATCAAATTTAATTTTGTTTTTTATTTTTATTTCAGTCAATAAATAGTCAGATGTACTTGATTTAAAATTTAAATTCATTCAAATTAAGGCTTTACAATTCTTACTTCTTCTTTCTGTACATGAGTCATACGACAGGCCCGGACCACTCTTTAAGTTTGGGGAAGAAAATTTTGTAATACTATGCGACAACTCATACGCAAATGTAATACATGTACATATATATCTCCATATATGAAATATGTGTACATTTAAAACAAAGACATATATGAAACAAACATACATAAAAAATATATACAAAACATATTAGAAGTTATAACAATTTCACACATTGACATACAGTATATGACCAGTCCATATGAATATGTTTGTTTATGTATGTGTGCTTATACTGTAGACGTATGCAAATACGTATCCATCTTGTTAATATGTTGATATTATAAACAGTAGGGTCCAAAAGTCTGAGACACTTTCCCAGAATGCGAAGATAGACAGATTTTAAATTAATAAGAAAGAAAGAAAGATTTTTTTATAAGCATGTTGTTTTAATAAACTTGCATATATATTATAAGTTTATATCATTAACATACCTGTATGTGGTTGCAACATGTTATACCATATAAAAATTCATCATAAAGATATTTTTAATATAGGCTATGTACATATACAAATTTTACTATGGGTTTTTCATATATGTTTTATGGTTATGTCTTCATATATACAGAAGATGTATACATGTGATAATAATATATCCACTCATAGGTGACATCACTCTTGATATAGAGATATACAGTATATGTCATATATTACATTTCTGTATGGGCAGTTGTCTTAAATCACTGACCTGCGTAGTTCTTACATGAGGTTCACTGAAAGATGCTCAGCACATTTATATAAGGTCAAATGTCAGTTGGAGACTTCTGGTTGTTTTAGACCTTGAGAATAATCCTGTGTGTGAATCTGTAAATTAGTGTCTGTGCCTGTGTAAACTCCTCCTACAATGAAATCTTTACGTAATGGTGTTGCTGACATTAACTATCATCAAGTGAATGATGACTTCGATTTGATTAAAAACACAGTGGACCTCAGCTTTTCACTGAGCTGACCATCATCGGCTTTGGCAAGGAGAGCGAGCACAAGATCGCAGCCACTTGCTCCCACCAAACACGCATGCAGTCTCTCCAAATTACTGTGTGGAAATGGATGATCTCCATATAATGGAAACAACTACTCTTCAACAATAGAGGCTGTTGTGTGGAGGCAGAGAGCAGAGGCGTGAAGGAAAACATCAGGCTCCACTCTGAGAACAGCTGAGACTGTCTGAGTGCTGTCTGTCTGCTGTTTCACAGCTTTTCAGGGGATTGATTAATAAAATAGGACATGTTTTTTTTGCACTGTAAACCTACCAAACCATTTATTGTTCAGAGGAAACATATGGCAGAGTTTGTTTTACTGTCTCCCCCTGGATGCATTCATCTACAGGTAGATGATAAAAGAGGACTTTTGTTTACCAGACCTTTCTAAAGAGCGCTGTTTGGAGCTGTCTGCTGCAATGAAACACCCTCTTTGTGTTTTCTCTGTCCACACAATCGCCCCAGTGAAATTGGGTCCCCTCTTGCTGTGCGTGATGACTGTGTGTTTAGAGGCACAACAATGGGCAACTGGAAATGGCTCTCACAAACAGACCTCTATCCTTGCTGCAGGTGAGAGGACATTCAAGTGTGACCAGTGCGACGCCACATTCAAGAGGAAGGACACGCTCAACGTCCACATCCAGGTGGTGCACGACGGCCACAAGAAGTACAAGTGCGACCTGTGTGAGAAGGCCTTTGTCACTCCGTCGGTCCTCAAGAGCCACAAGAAGGTGAAAAAAAAAAATCAGTTCATGCAGAGCTGTTGTTGTATTCATTTGAAATGTAGACATAACAGTTAGAAAATAACTGATGAAACCTTGAAAAATGATCTTATCTGACACAGTGCTGAGAAAAATTATGTTGACGTTCTGCAGGAAACTTACCAAGAATATACTTCCTCTGCATTTTGAGTTAGAGGCACAAGTAAATTGCACAAAATTGCAGGATTTTCCATCATCAATCCTCAGCTATCAAACTAAATTTAAAAGAGGAGAAACAGCAGCCCAGCCATCAATTTTACTAACATGTTTCCATTGTTTCGTATCCAGTCTTATAACGTGATGCAGCTAATATCTTGGACAGTCAAACCTGGCGGAGACATCCATCTTGAGCGTTCCTGCACTTGAAGGCTTGGAAATCAATTCCTATGTTGATTAGAAATGGCAGTTAGTCCATTAGCTCCGCAGGGTTTCAAAGCCCCTAACAGATCATGCTGCAGATTATGAGCCCTAAATCTGACAACGTCCGGTGTAGTTATGGATCAAGATTGAAACCAAACAGCTTCTTGGCACAGGGCAAAAGAAAATGTCTCGGAGGTTGTCTCAGAACAGTAGGGCTGAAGACAGGCTTGTTGAACTGTCTCGCTGCTTATGGGGTCTGGAGGCTGCTGAGAGATCTGGCCTTGATCAAAGTCAGGTTGCGGAGGAGAGGACAACTTAGTGGCTGTGTTTACATGTGCAGAGTAACCCTGCTTTTGGTCACACTGTTGTTGAAGTCTTATTTAATCTACACTTTCATACTCAACTGTTTGTGCAAATGTCTCACCTCAAATAATCACAAATCATCATCACAGCCACTAAAATTTAACCATCTCTTTGTAACATCATGAAAACCAGACTGATCCAGTAAGAACTTACCTCCATAATTATTATTCTAACTAAATGATGATGCTTTTGAAAAGGACTGAATGATTATTTTCACTAATGAGTAATCTCCCAATTAGTTTCAGTCTTTGAAATAGAATAAAAGTGTGAAAAATAGTGAAAAAATTGACATTTTCAAATAGTTTGATTTATCCACAACACAAAGATATTAATTTTATGATGATATATGAAAAAGGAAAGCACCAAATTGTCACATTTGAGACGTTGGAACCAGTGAATTTTTGGTATTTCTGCTTGAAAAACAACAACAAACGATTGATTATTAAAATAGTTGCTGATTGTGTTTTTGTTGATTGACTAGCTGTTTAATCACCTTCAGTCTTCGTTTGAATTGCAGGAGGCTCTTCTCCAGGCTTGTACACTGAGCCTTAATAGAAAGAACTTATCTCTCCTGAACCAGGATTTTTAATAAGTTTTATGCAAAAAAAAAAAAAGAAAAAAAGATTTGAAGGTTAACGATGTCACTGAATGACTTGACATTTTTGCTGCTTTAGAATCATCTTCTCTCTCCGCTCAAATCAAACCAGACTGGATCTTTATGTGTGTTTGTTTGAGTCACATGTGGATGTGCGTCACCGCAGCAGTCGCTGGTGTAGATGAACTGTGATGCTGTACATATCTGAGTTATTCATGGAGCGCTCTTGTGTTACAGAGAATGCTGTCTCCTCAGTGAGCCTGGATTTGTGTTATATGAGAGGGTGTGTGTGTCAGCATGTATGTGCATGCATTGTATGTTTCGCTGGGCTCACCTCTGTCAGTGCTGAGAGAGAAGAATTCACAATGATTGAAAATTACAGGGTTGGTTTTAACTCGTTACAGACATACGCTGTATTTATTCTTTTTTATATAAAACTTTTGATAATTGCACACGACTCCCAATAAATTCTACACTTATGATTTGGAACATGATGTTCCTGTGTGAAACTGATAGTGTCCCCTGTGGCTGTCTGTTCATGAAGGTGGAACACAAAGCCATGTTTTCTCTGTTGAACAAGTAACTAATGAAACACGGCTCTGTCTGCGACACACGTGTTCATGCAAGTGGATTTGTTAGTGCATGATTGTCTGTGAGTGTGCATGCATGTGTTTATGTGTTTGTTGTAATGTGCGTGTATGTGTGTGTGTGAGCATGTGTGTGAGTGTGGATGGAGCCTTTGTAACTGAACACCCGAGGTGTCAGAGTCACACAGCAGGGTGATGGAGGGAAGGATGGGGGCCCAGTGAGGAGGTGTTCCTGTATTGTTGTACTGCTGTTGAAACTGTCGCTCTGAGTTTGAGCTTTTCATACTCACAGTTATTTTCAGGAATTTACAACAGGCCAGGAGGTGGAATTCAGAGAGTACGTTTCAACAAGGAGAGAGGGAGGGAGAGGAGCAGGGGGGGAGGGGGAAGGTAGAGGAGGCAGCACGCTCTTTCCACATGCTCTTCTTCCCTGGTTGCATGTGCGCCCCAGAGTTCTGCACTGAGGACTGTTGGGAGGCGTAGGAGAGAGGAAGAAGAGGGAGGAGGAGTAGGATGAGGCGATGTATGCATGTGTGCATGTGTGCACCCTGGCCTTTACAGTCCCCGGGGCTTTGGACCCTGGTAAACCTGCATCGTCTGTGTTCTTTGATCCTGCCTTCAGGGCAGCTCAGTCGATCCACTGTCATGTGAACATGTGCATCTCCATTTACTGACGCTACCACTAGTTTTTGGTGCATTATGGGGGATGAAATGTGGTTTATTCTTTACCCAATTAAAAAAAATTATTAAAGAGGGAATTCAAAGAGGAATGCAGATCCTGGAAAAATCTGATTAATGTTTGTATGAATTGTTGGTTGAAGAGACGGTTTGATGAAGCTGATAAATTCTCTGATGAGCGTATGTCCTGACATGGAACTCCAGCTATCACCATGGATCACATTTTATTTTGTAATGTAGGAGGGATGTGAGGATGAATGTTACAAATGTTTTTCTTAACATCCACCACATTTTTTTCATTTCTCTTCCTCAGACTCACACGGGGGAGAAGGAGAAGATCTGCCCATACTGCGGACAAAAGTTTGCCAGCAACGGCACGTTAAGGGTCCACATCCGCAGCCACACAGGTCAGTGGTCCTCCCAGCTTCAGTGCTTCCATCAGCAGTCATTAACATCACCTACTAGACTTAAAGAAAGAGTATCATATCAACACATCCACCATCTTGCTTGAATCTTTAGATTAGTGTAAACTGCACAATGAACATTCTCAAAATAATCAGATTGAACTTGTTTTTTTTTTTTATTTGGATTCAAACGCATTTAGTGTATAATTTAAGAGACGTTACTCAAGGTCACCTTGTAGTTGTTATGCTTAAGCATTTTATTTGCTCTTGTCAAAAGGAATAATTCAACAAATTAGCAAATATACTTGTTTGCTGTATTGCCAATACTCATGTCTGTTCTCAAATATGAAGCAGATGGGAAACAAGGGGAAACAGCACAGCACCTATTCTTAAAGACCCCCTCTGATGAAAATCAGTTGTCCATATAATGTTTTTTATATAATACAAGACATATGATGAGTGAACACCAGTGAGTGTTTCCACCTTGAGCTGCAGTAAAACAGATTCAGACAGCCAGGGTTTCATACGTCACAAACCTGAGGAACCAATCCTGTCAACTGGTGGGGACGGGGGGCGGGGCTAAATAAACCTGAAACCTTGTCAGTCCAGAGAGTGAGAGTTAGCATTAGCACAACCGCTAAAATTGTGTCAGCCACCGCCAGTTACAAGCTAAAACAACATAAACAAATAATAGATGCTAACTACGCTAACCATTCTGACCCGTCTGCTAGTCTCTGGTTCTGGACTCAACAGACTCCTCATCTGAGTCTGAGTCTGACTGAGGCTCAAACATGTGGCTGAGTCTCTCTGATGTTTCCTCCTCTCACCATCTTGATACTCTCTGCTCTTTCACCTGTCCACCTAGAGCAAGCAGGTGGTGGGCGGGGCACAAGGACTGATCCACATTTCTCAGTCAGGAAGTAGGAGGAGATGAGCTTCAGACCCAGTTTAATGTGTGAAAACCATGTTTAACAAAATATTTATCAGAGCAGAGGATCTTTACAGAGTTTAAAACACGTCTGGATAGGAAGTTTAAATCCCATCTCAGTGCATCTCCCCTGCCAGATTTACACCAAACGAGTGGATGAAGCTCTTTTTAATGTTAGAAAATTCCAACATGTTGTAGCACTGCTTGCATCAGTCTTTGCGTGACCACAGAAATAGAGCCCTGAATGTTCATTAAACTGCCTTAAACTAGAAAGCTACACATTCCTGTGTGTCTCCTTACCAACAGACTGGTGCAGAGCCCTGGCACGGCCACACACACACTTCTTGGCCTTTAAACTTGTTCACTAAGTCTTTCTTTTTCTCCGTCTCTCTGTGCCTGCTCCTGGCTGTCTCCCTCTTTTCCTCACTCCCACTTACACTTCATCTCTCTTTCCTCGCCTTTTTCTTTCTCCTGTTGTTTTCTCTCTTTGTCCTGTTGTTTTTTTGAATTGAATGCATCAGTTTTCTCTGCTTGTGTACTGGCAACACACACCTGGTGATGAGGGGAATGCTTTCTGTGGACAGTTGCACAAAACACCTTCAGATAAGATTTTCCTCAAAGTCCAAGTTAAAATGATCACTTAAGTATTTAAGGTTTTCACCTTGTTATACATAAGGAATCACTTAAAGTCCGTTAAGCCGTTGCACAGAAGACCTTAGCGAACAAATTGAGGAAAAAAACTAAAGGTACATCTGATTGTATCTTAATTGCTGCATGGCTGAGTTTATGGAAAAATTAAGAGAATGAACACATAAGAGGAGTTTTCTACAACTGGAAGAACCTGATGGACACCCTCATTGACGAGGAACTGATTGTGCACCATAGATTTGATCGGCAGACAATTTATGATTTGTGCGACCGTCTAGAGCTGGATCACTCCACTTTCCGCGGATGTGCTCAAGTCAGTTTTTAGTACATGTTTTCTTTTGCTGTATTCCTGTGTCTCATTTTTCTCCTCTGACCAATTTGGTTTTCTTGCCTGAATTTCTTGTGCCATTTTCTTCTACAGGCCAACATTGTGAGCCAAGAACAGGTGAGATGTTAATCAGTATCACAAGTGCTAATGCCAGCAAAAAAATGGTCTCCATGGAAACTTTATAATTTCATTGCTGCAAATCCCTTAATGTTTTTCCTTAACAAGGGAAACCCTTTAAGTTATTCTGTGCAACAACCTTAAGTAACTCCCTCAGATAAGGAGAGCATCAACCATAAGTGTCATACTTAAGCAGGAACTTAAGGTGTTTTGTGCAACCAGCCGCTGCAACCAAGATAAGGAGAAAACCTTAAATACTGAAGTGAACATTTTAAGTAAACCTTAAGGGTGTTCTGTGCAACTGTTTTTATTTTAAGGAAACCTTAACTTGAACTTTAAGGAAGGCGTTTTGTGCAACTGGCCACAGATCTTTGACCTAATCATGCCTCGGTCAGCTTCATTAGCGCCACGCGGTTTACTGTTGGATTTCTCTGCACCAAACTCACATTAAGAAAAAGCTGTAGTCGTGCTTGTAGCCTCTCAAACTCTCCCTGCAGGTGTGGCTTAGTGTGTCAGAATGTGTGTGTGTGCCACTGAATGGTGGCAGGATGATGGTCCATTGACAAGCCTACCATACTTTGTCAACAGCACCCTGTGTATCCATGTGTGCACGAGCTGTGTGTGTGTGTGTGTGTGTGTGTGTGTGTGTGTGTGTGTGTGCGTGTGTGTGTGTGTGTGTGTGTGTGTGTGTGTGTGTTGTCGTACATGTGTATGTGTGAAGGACAAACCAGCAGAAAGAGAGAATGTATACCAGTGTGAGCCTCGGCCCAGTCTGATTGTATTTATATAGAATAAACAAAAGAGAGGAATGCTGGGGGAGGGGTGGGAGCCGAGGGGACACCTCAAAGAAAGAAAGGAGCAAAGAGAGAAAAGACCACTCCAAGAAAGCATCCAGCCAGATGACCCTTGACCCTGACTGGCTGTAAATCTGTCCCCTCATTCTATAGACTTGGGTTTGTTTGTTTGTTGTGTTTTTGTGTGAGCGAAAAAAATGAGCTTTGTTGAAAAGTGTGAAAACTGACAAAATTATTCTCAAATTGTGATTTTGTAATTTTGGTCTCATGTAGCTCATCTGTGTTGAACTGTGTGAGAAATGTGAGATGTGTAAATCATATAACAGCCTTGTTAATGTGAGTAAAACTTTAAAGATAGCCAGTTTTTCTGTCAGTGAGCTCTTAAAAAAGCCACCAGCTGAGGTAAAGACCTTTAAATCGACAGCTTTTCCCGATGGCAGACAGGAAAGCTTGATCTTGTTTGTCTTCCGGCTTCACAGGAACAAGTCAGCATTGATTATTTACCTGCCAAACACAGAGGACTTTGTCAGGATTCCTCGGAGATTTCCTCCCCCCATCATTTTACCATCAAACACTGCAGGGCATTATGGGAAAAATGGGTGAAGTGTGAAGGGATTAAAGAAGAATTTGAAAACATCGAACTGAAAGTATTGAGCAGCTGGCACGGCATGCACTGTATATTTGGCTTGTATTTTGTTTCAGTTTAATTTGGTTAGAACATCATGTTGAGCTCAAACAAATTAGTGGTAGTGCCACAGAGGCAGGCGTCTTCTCAGAGAGCAGCCTTTATGAGTTCACCGACGACCCATAAAATGTGAGCTGTCAAAAACTTGGACGAGGCTGTTGAAGAGTTTTTGGAGTTCAGCAGTTATGATGGATGTTTCTATCATTTTCTAAATTGTTCTTTTTGGCCCCGTGATGGAGCAAATGTGTCTGTCTCCACATCAGAGCTCAGTGAGAGCAGACTTTCCCACCGTGTGTGCCATGATGTGGTAAATAACCATGGTGGGGTCATGAAAATTATTTGTGCCAAGGGAAATGTTGACAGAACCCAGTGCCTCGCTGTCACACTGACATCATAGCACATGTCATGTTTGGGCACAATGATAAGTGTAAGCCCATGAGCTATGTTACAGCTAATTGTTGTGGGATTTTAACCCTTAATGCTGATTTAGTGTTTATATTACACCATGATTCAAGCCTCAGCATTTAGACTTTCCTACATGCAGACAGCTCAGCGGGTCTCAGTGGGAAACAATGGAGTATTTGTCATAAATAAAGTTAGTTGTTCATAATTCCTCATAACCAACAAAGTAAAGCTGCAGATTTAACAAGCAGAGACACGAGACAAAACTAAACAAAGAAGTAGCAACAGCTGTCTGAGATGGGATGTGTTCAAGACACTATGTGTTGAATTTAGCTGGAGGAAACTGATAAAAGCAGCACATAGACAGCACCGATTTTTCCTTAGATTGTGTTGTTTTACTAGAGATGCTATAAAAAGGTAAACTTAGTGACTTTAAAAGGCCACTTCAGCAATTTTAGTATAGCACTTCCATATAGTTGGTGGACTTACAAGAGACGGATTAAAACAGAAAAGTCAAAATTGAAGCAGCAGCAGACAGTGAGATATCCAAACTTTTAATCTGGAGTTTAGATAAAGTCCCAAAACACTCAAAACAGAAATAGATTGCATACATTTAGAAAAGGATTAATAAATAAATAATATAAAATTAGGAGATTGCAACACAGAGATGAACAGCTGGTGGTGCTTATTTTCTACTTAAATCGTTACAGAAGAGATCACAACAAAGTGATTAAAAGAGCAGAAATGAAATCTCAAACTAATGAAAACGATGTGAAAAAAATGTAACGGAAATATGATTTATGTTTATTCATTGTTTGTTTTTTCATCTGCAGCTATATTCAGTCTCTCCAGTAGCAGATGCTTCAGTGGACTTTGAAGTTTATTTACTAAATTGTTTCTATTACATTTCATCACATTATTCTTTTATCAGTTCAAGTTTCACCTCAGACGTGTGAAAAAACGTATTTGTGTTGTTTTTTTTTTTGTTTGTTTGTTTGTCTTGATTTTCCACTCAGGTTTTTTTTCTGCACAATTGAAAATGTGCATAAAAACACCTTCCTACATTTCCCATAATGCAACTCAATAGTTTCTGTTACATTACTTGTTTAAAATTGGTTGAGTGGCCCTTTAATGGACTAGTCAGTGAAGACACAACAGAACAAGCTGAACACTCATAATGACAAATCAACAAGCATGTTCTTTTATGCCCAACACATTCACAGAAGAAAAAGGTCTTTAAAAATGACACTGATGATACAACGAAATAACAGATAACATCTGAACAGAGTGCATCAACATTTAAATTCATTCTGCTTGGAATGTGTATTATCCCCCTGATTCACAACAAGTCCTGGTTCTCACTGACCCACTGGGTAACCATTATTTTATTATTGGTTAATTATACACAGCAGATCATTTACATACAGGCCAAAACCCACTGTCTGGGTTTCCTCACGGTCGTAGAGCAAGGAGTAGGCTTGTAACTTTTGGACGACTGATGACAAGTTAAATAGATCTGCCTCCCTGAGCTGAAGGCTTGTGTTACAGCTGCATTTTTACATCAGTAAATCACTGCCACATCAATTTTAAACATAATTTATAGTATAATCTAACTTAATAACTTAATTACTTCACTTAATGACTGTGCTGGGAAACTTACAGTCAAGGTGCATTATTTGAATTGCTGTAACTGGGATTGCTCTCTGGCACTGATGTTTATGAGAATATGTGTTTATCAATCAGACTACCATTGATATTCAGGTCATAGTATTCCATAGTTTTCATTTTCAGTGACAGAGAAGAGAAAACACTCACTTCCTACACTGGCACAGGACAGAGGATACTGATCTTCTTGATCATATTTCCATGTTTTAAAAAGCTACACGTTGCAGCTTTATGTAATCACACAACAAAAAATCTGCCCTGAACTGGAATCACTGAACCTGTATATGTACAGATGATTTTGTTTGTCCTGGCTGTGGTCATGGTTACAATCTTGTAAAGGAAAATCACCATGTACTGAATTATCATCTGAGCCTTGCAGCTTTAACTCTTTTTGGGTGCGGTGCAGATGCCTCATTTAGATCGAGGATTGTGTCAGGTTCAGATGTGCAGCATGTGCGGTAAGGCTCGGGCACAGACTTGTCTGATACAGGCACCTTCACACGGGCGAGTTTCAGAGAATTATTTGAGGAAGTGGAGAAATCTACTGAGACTCTGGCCATAAAGGGAAGGTCAAGTGTAAAAGTTGTTGGGCGTTCCTATGGCTCATCAAAGGCGATCTCTTATCATCTCTCACACACTGATATCACGTTACCTCTGCGGCCTCTGTCGGCATGTGGCACATGGCAGAGAGTGGAGGGCCACTGTCTGGCTGAACTGGAGGAAGCCAGGAATTAATTTCTGACGGACTACACTAATGTCTTTCAGACTGGAGCCCCCGAAGCTACAAAGCGCTCTCCATAACAGGAACGCTGTGCAGCAGGCAAAACGACAAAGCCGGCCATCTGCTAACCAGACACACAGCCGTATGTGCACATATACAACACACAAGGGGTGCCAAACGGATCGATTAGCAGACAAGGAGTGTGAGGGCCACAGCAGGGGGCGGGGGAGACACCAGGGGTCAAAGAGATGGTGTACTGTTTCAGCACATGCTAAATCAGTTACCATCTCCACACACATAAAGCCCTGGCTCAGTGCTGCAGCCACCCCTCATAATCCCCAAACAATCTGGCTCAATCTGGAGAATAAGTGGAGGTTTCTAGTTACAGTCGCACTCAGCAGAACAGACACTAAGCCCCTCGCACGAATAACACAGACCAATGTTGCAAGACTGTTACTACTTAGGTTTCTAAGTAGCATTTGTTTATTTCCTGTTTCACTAAGGGATTGAGTTGCTCTTGTTTTATTATGAGCAGGTTGAACCAGTGGAAAAGCAATGACTGTTGAAAAGTCATGAGTGGGAACTATTAGTTACAATATTTATGAATGACCTCTTTTAAAATATCAAATACCATCGTTTTCTCTGTGTGTGCATTTTCCAGATGAGGCACACATGTCCAGAGCAGAGTGTATAGGTTAAGTAGGTGAATTGGTGAGCACTTAGTGCGAGCCTGTGTGTTAGCAGGGTGTGGTCGTCTGTGCTGTGTATTAGCTGACAATAGCCAGCTCCTGGGAGGGATGTGATCCAAGCCACAGAAGTACATTGGCACGCTGTGCTCCGGTGCTATTAGCACACTAATGCCTTCTCCAGGGTTCCCCAAGGCTAACACTGAGCCATAACCCGATACCACACATGCTACACAAGACATAGGACTTGCTCTCATCTGTCTCAAAACACATCTGGGACTCAGATTTTCCTGTTTGTCAACAAAAGGCCTCCTAGAGGCTGCAACTGCACAGAAGGGGATTCTGGGACAGTATACAAAGCTGCCCTTGAGCACATGTCTCAGTATGTGTATATGTAATCAGTCCACATATGTCACGTTAACCCTTTCTACACCAACGTGATGTTACACATTTTATGACTGTGTGTCACAGCGCTCCTCTGAAGCCCTCTTGTGGGGGGTTTATGGTGGGTTTAGACCCTGACTTGTGTATCTGCTACGTAACAGCTGTCGTAGCCACAGGCTTTCTAGGATATGGATAACCATTTTAGCTGTTTGACAATTGAAAGTTGGAGCACCGGTCAAGTCTGAAATATAAAGTCGTGTCAGGATATAGCCGTGGGTTTCATTTTCAAATGAAATCATTCAAATGCTAAATATCCACACATTCCCATGAAAAGCATTTCATTCTGCCTGAATACCTTTATATGAAATATAAAAAATGGCCATTAAATATTTACTTAATACTTCAGTCAAACCTTCACACTTGGCTGTTTGACTATACTTAGACTTACTGTGAGAAACAGAAGAGAAATATTCCTCCAACACAGTGATAATATTACTCCTCTCATATATTCTCTAGATGGATTTTCTGATGTAATAAGCATTTTGCATTTTGAATCCCAAGGAAACACAGCTAATTAACCTTATTACTTAAAGGGGCAAAACATCTCCCCCATCAATAAAATTACTTGCTTGCCTGTTCAACAATTAATCTCTAAAGAGAGATTATGTGACTATGAAGCTGATAAAAAAATTAGATTGTTGTACTGAAGGAATAGACACAGATGTCTACCTGCAGGTATCCATTTTTGGCAATTTCATTAAAATGTACTGTGTGAACTTGGAGGCACACACACACATATATATATATATATATATAAATTCTGAATAGAGTAATAGCTAATATCATTTGATTGCTGGCTCTATCTTTAGTTTTCTAGACACAGGAAATGTATTTAGTTTGCACTAGTTTCATGATTTATGGAACATCTATGAAATAAAATATACAAATATTGAACCCAGGATTTTATTTCTTTCATACTGTACTTTCCTATCTGAATCTTTCATTTCAGTGTGGTTATATAGGTTACCTCATTTCTCTTCTATAGATTAGTAATCAACTGTGGTGATCCTATCTTTCTCATGAATCTGGCCTGGTAAACAGATCCATGTGTCAGTAGACTGGTTGACTGACAGCCTGTCACTTCCTCTTCGTCGTCAGCAGCGTGCGCTCAGATAGGATCTGTAGGAGTTTGGCTGGACTGCTTTTGATCCAACTGGGATAAACCACATTGCCTCTGATGTGCTCCTAAACTGTTGGCCAGTCGTAGCTCAGATATCGGCCCGTGAATCGTAGCCAACACAAGCTTTGCTGTGCAGTGGAAAGTCAGTGTGCATCAGAAGTGACTGGCTCAGGTCTACCAGTAGCCAGGTTAAATCTGTGTTAGAGCAGGTCAGGAAGAGAAAGGGGACCGGACAGAGGGACTGTAGTAGCACACACACCTGGTACATCTGTGAGACAGATCAGAGGCCAGATATTTCTTTTGTATTCTACGTGAGAGTGAAGGTCGTGCTTTAGATGGTCATGTTTGAGAACGTTTTTGTATCTGTCAGTGTGTGTGACATACATGTGCACATTTGCAGTACACATACAGTCACAAATCTTCCTGTTATAAAGAACTGTAGGTTAAACTTGTTTAAACCAAGCAGCAATCTTCTGAAAAATGAAGCCAACACTGAAGTGTTAAAACCTGCAGTTCCTCTAAGTCTGGCTCCAACAGCGAGTCAATCCCCATAGACTCCCATGTTGTGGGAGTGAAGCAGCAGAAATAAACATGTTTACAGCCTGGTACAAAAACAGTTTTGGTCTCTAGAGCTAATTTCCTCCTTCATGACACCTGTTTATATAACTCACCTGTTTTCATTTTATTAAGGATTAAAGTTATGGAGAATTGAGGGCGTGGCCTCTTTGAGTGACAGGTGGGTGAGTGTATGCTTGCCACAAACCAGCATACACTGAAATCTCAGCTCCTCACACGCCCCACCTCTTTGACGATTTATGGATTAGCTGGGAGTAAGGGGCGGAGTCAGACACTGCCAAGATGGCGATGGTGGAGCAGCTCACTCTAAGCTTCAGAAACCTGTGGGTGACCTGACAGAGGCTACGTCCATCTTTATTTACAGTCTATGGTAGAAACCTATATGGAACTATTTATATGTCAGTGCTGTGGCCTCATAATGTTTTCTGTTCCCCAGGTGAGCGTCCATACCAGTGCCCTTACTGTGACAAAGCATTCAGCAAGAACGATGGCCTGAAGATGCACATCCGCACACACACACGAGTAAGTCTGAACCACTTCTGTGCTCTTGTTATAAAAGATTGTTGCTTGCTGGTTCCCAAAACACAGTTGTGGTTTTAGTCAGGTGTATTTTTACTGCACATTACCCTTTGCATGTAACTGTATGGATAAATACCATCATATATAATAATGCCATGGTGGCATTATTATATATTTACTGAAGTAATGAAAGCAATCGCAAAGCATCATCAAATGCATCACTTCTTTTTTGCACAGCAGATATTTTGAAATGTGACAGTAGAAAATCACAGGTGTAAATATACAAATGATGATGGCTAAAGTCCCGTAGCTGCTTCAGTTTAAAGGGCGTGGTATTGTGCATATTGGTTCAATGTCACTGTCGTCCTTAATGTTATTAGTCACAACTGTACCTTTGCTACTATGACAAGTCAAAATGTCTGCTGGGAAAAGGGCCTATTAACACCTAATTGTACTGCTTGCAGTGTTTCACCAGACTGCTCTATGCAAAATGAGAACTGCCTGATCCGTCTTTATCAAAACTTCTTAGAATCAAGTCCTTGGTGTTTGGTTCTGTCTCATGTCATCTAGTTAATTTCAGACATGTTCTCTTTAAATTCTGTGAGTTTCTCTGTCTGCCTGCAGTAATCAGATATGTGATGTCTTCTTTATGGGCATTATGAACATTCAAAAAAAGTACAAACAGTGTAAGAGACACAGACAGAGTGACAGGGATGCTGACGCAGTCCCACTGACTTTATCATTCAATCTGGAGCACAGTGCTTCAGGCCCTCTGTTGAGACTTAGGCTACATCCAGTAATACTTTTAGAGTGTCTAAAACAGAGAAATTTGGAAATGTTGCTGGTCCTTTTTTATTTTGAAAACTCTGGGGTTGTGTTGTAGTCTGGATGGACAGAAACTGAGACCTTTAGAAATGATGACGTAGACACCCACGGTCTCTCCTGATTGGCTCTCATCAGTGTCGACTACCAGTGGTGAATACAACATGATAATGAATTACAATGTACCTGGTACAAAAAACTGTTTTGGTCTCTACGGCTAATTTCCTCCCTCATGACAACTGTACGGGGGGTGAATTTTTACATAACTCAATTGTTAAAATTTTATTAAGGCTTAAAGTTATGCATAATTGAGGGCATGTCGCTTTGAGTGACAGGCGGGTGAGCGCATGCTTGCCACAAGCCGGCTTGCCCATTTTTGGATTAGCTGAGAGTTTGGCGGAGTCAGGTACTGCCAAGATGGCGATGGTGGAGCAGCTCACTCTGAGCTTCAGAAACCTGTGGGTGACCTGACAGAGGCTACGTCTATCTTTATTTACAGTCTATGGTCTCACCCAGTGAAAGAAGTTCTGTTTTCTCTGTGTCTAACATTTGTGACACTCCCTTCTCCTTTTAATAATGAGGTAATCTCCACACTCACAGGTTTATTTATAAATGATCTTAACCCACTGACAGTAAGCACAGACACAATGTAGGTACAGACAGAAGAGAACATTAGATACACTGAACTCACACTGTGCTGGTTTACTCACATTCTTTGTTTTATTTCTCCATAAACTCAGAAGACTTGACTCTGTTGACAACTGTTGATTGTGTGGCAATGCATTCAGATGCACACATAGTAAACAGAGCTTTAACGGCCTGAACATGTAAATGTGAAGTGAGTCAGAGCTCAGGGTGGAGAAAGGAGAAGGTAGGTGATGAGGTCATTTCCTGGGCTGGGACGCCGCTCATTTCCCTGCGTCACTTCTCGGCCCATTGAAGTTCTCCACCAAAGCGCCACTTTCCATGAGCTCTCTGTGAGCATCTGGATGTGTGTGTTAGTGTCACTTGATAAATGAGAGTTAATATGTATTTCATCATAGATTTCCATCATCAGTTTCTAAAGCTATGACTGTGACAGTCACGGCCTGTCAGCGCTGTTAATTTCAAAGATGTGTCCTGTCTTAATACTGTCCAGAGCACAGCGCTCCACTCTTACAGTGTGTTGATAATGGAGGTCTCCTGTCCAGGTCCACGTCGCTCAGTAGAAACAGACAGGTATAATTTTTTAGTGAGCTGCTGATTAAACTGACTGATGTTTGGTTCCTAATGTTCCCAGATCTGCCTTTGCTCACAGCGCTCTGAAATATGGGCTGAACAGTTACAAACAGCAGAGCCAGATGAAGTCACTGTGGAGCAAAACAAATGTCATTTGGCTGCAGCTCACTGTTAATGTACAGACAATTTGAGATGGATGTGTTTGGAGTTTGTGTCTTTTTACCACAAACCACATCACCAGCTAATAAAATGGAACACATTGGTGGTGATATGAACGGCCGATATTTTGGATATTAGAGGGGTTTTTTTTAATCATAATATTGTTTTGATCTCTGATGTCAATGGATGTGAATGTATCTATACCATATAATTACACTTGATGTCAGAGGTTCCATCTTTTCTTCTTTGCCAAGAAGTCTGTTAAATGTTTTTGGACTGGGACATGTTGAAAATTAAAAAGTTAAAAGAACTAACGTAATTTGTTGGAATTAATTCAAACACGACTCAAACCACTTTGTAGAGTTGATGTTGTTCCATACATACATTACGGGCAACAAGCTAACAGGTGACTTCGATTTGCTGTTGTGGTAATGCTACTGTAACACACTGTATATGACTGAGACTGAGGCTGTGTCAGGAACCACTCCCTCATTCACTCATTCACCAGTAACCACTCAATGAACCCTCAATGACCTAACAGTGATCAGTAAATACAGATTTCAGACACCTACATACATTTTCATTTGGTATATAACCGGGATTTTCCCCACCTATAAAATGTAGAGCATTACATTGTGGGATTCCAAGCAGATTGTGGCAGTAACGGCCATGGACACTACTCTTTCATTTCATTGTGGAATTCAGATCACAGAGTTTGGATACTCAAATGGAATGGTGGACAGTAACTATAGTACACTATAGTAAATACAGTAGTGATTTTGGACACAGCCATGCTAGCAGCTCTGTGAAGCTGTACTTAAGCACAGAAGTGTTTAGAGCTAAATGGTAATGTCACCATGCTAACATATTCACAGCAATGATTCATCCACTGGGAATCATCCACCATGAATGTCAGAACCAAATTTGGCAATCCATCCAGTAGTTTTTCAGATATTTCAAAGTGGTGGAGCAACGTTGTCGATAGCATGGCTAACATGCTACTGAGGCTAAAAACTGTTCTGACTTACTGATTTCAAACTGCAACCTGAAGTCTGATAGGGCACTGGGACTTCCTGTTCTCATGCTGATTTACAAATACCCACATTTTTAACATGACACATGAGACATGAGACTCTTTTGGAGTAAGTAAACAAAACTCTGTCTCTGCTCTTAGCAGAGAGTGGTCAGACTCAGAGGAACGTTCAGGTCAAAGGTCAGAGGGTGAACAGCTGCTGAAGAATGAAGGTCACAAGGTACAGATGTTCAATGTTACCAGGGTCACAGTGATGCATTTTGGGTTCACATCACCTAAGTCTATCCATGTGTTTCCTGACCTTTGAACTCTGAACCCTCATAGTTTTCTCTTATTTTCCTTGTCATACAACAACCATTATAACCTCATGGAAAAAGAGGAGGTCGTCGTTAAAGCAGAAGATTTAAGTGGAAATTTGCATTACACACAAACTGTCTCCTCACACACACACACACACACACACACACACACACACACACACACTGCTTTATTTCCATTGTTCCCCATCATTCTGCCACATCCTCACAAACAGTTGCATACTTAAAGCTGCTCACACATATCTGTGCACTCAATTGCGCACATGCAGTGAACCTGATCTTTACCTCCTTTTGTATCCTGTGTCACTGGGCACTCCTTGCCCCGCCCACATGATAGCGCCTTTCCCAGGACCCTTACTTCCTGCATTCACCCTGTTCCCATGACAACTAAGCTTTAAATGGGTAGAGCCTTTGCTATCAGGCAGACTTGTCAAAAACAGCTTCACACAGAGTGATACTGGGAACCAGCTCCCTGCTATCTTCACGCTTCTTATTTCTCCTCCAGTCTTTTAGGTGTCACCACTGTTTCCTCTCTGACTGCCGGACACACCTACTGTCCACCCTCATCAGAACTGTACACACACACACACACACACACACACACACACATACTTGGAGTTTTTGTGAAAACACACCCACAGCGAGATATGCACTTTGACTGACAGTGAGACAGGCCTCCGAAAGGCGCAGAGGAAATGTTCTTTGGTAAACTGATGAGGTGTGGAGACAGAGGAGTGATATTCTACAGCCCCAGAGTGCCGGTGCTCTGATACATGTTCAAAGGGATTTTCTGTGCCGTGTTTTCCTTGCTCCTTTGAGGATTCCATGTGTTTTTGATGGCCCCTATGCCGGTCATTTCCTCCCTACCGCAGGAGCTGTACAATCTTTAATTTCATATCTTCATAAACTCACACGGAGAGAACACCGGGGTGTGAAGGCAGAGCGTATCAGTGTGCGTGCCTGCGTGCGTGCGTGCGTGCGTGCGTGCGTGCGTGCGTGCGTGTGTGTGTGTGTGTGTGTGTTTCCACATCTTCTGTGTTTTCCACTGTGCTGTGCATGTCTGTTTGTTTTTCCTGGTGTGTGTGCGTGCACATATGTGGATCATTACACTTTTTTCCTCCAGGTTTTGTCCATATGTGACTGAATGGGGCAAGTATTGTTTTGTGTATTGTTCTGCTACACACAGACAGATGAAATACCCTCTTTAAATCTGGTGTGTGCATCTGTGTGTCACTGCAGGAGAAGCCATATAAATGCAGCGAGTGCAACAAGGCCTTCAGCCAGAAGAGAGGGCTGGACGAGCACATGAGGACCCACACAGGAGAGAAACCTTTCCAATGTGATGTAAGTGTCTACCTGCCTCCTCTGTGCCTACAAACCAACCTGCGCTGCCTTGATTCTTGCTTGTGTTTGTGTGTGTGTGTCCGGTGTGTGATAGCGCTCTGGCACCAGGCCAGATGTGGGGAAGAGTTGGGGGAGCTGCTCAGTGAGAGGCAGATAGTGATCTTGGTTCTCTGGTGAGGCCGAGTGGGCTGATCTCACATAAACACATTGAGAGGATCAGAGGGAGAAATTACCCTCTGTTTATAATACTGTAGGAGTAATAATTATTCTCAGAGACTGGGGAGGGAACACACGACAAAGATGTTGTCCATGTTTTCAACAAACTTTTTCATCGCAGGGTTTTCATCAACATTTGTGAAAATTCAAAAGGGCGGTATACTTGATATTTTCTGTTTTTTTTTTTTTTTTTAGAAAGCCACAACAGCATCTTAAATTTAAATTCAAAATCCTATGAAATTCTATCTAACCCTCAAAACTTTTTAATGTGATGTACAGTGTATGTAATGTAAAGCACAAGGATCAGTTACCACAAACTACTACAAAGGATTCTGGGCAATAATGGCACTTAGGCCACTCCTTCTTCTCGGAGCCACAACTCAGTCAAATCTGAACACATAGACATGATACACACATCTTTATATTCAGTGTGACTTCCACTTATTGAATAATAGTGCATAAATCTTCTTGAAATAATAAAAAAAACACTATCCTTGTAACTCAAAACCTGCCTGAGAATCATCATATTTTCCTCAGTATCACAGTGATCCTGTGACAGAGGAGGCAGAGTCTCAGACTCTGAAAACCCCTGAACATAACCTTAGAATACAAATATTTCTTAATTCCATAAATCCATCACCCAAATCTGGATTGTCAGACTCTTGTTTGAGCTTTATCGCCCTAATAAGCCTCAATCTGTGGCATCTAAACCAGTAAATGCGCCCATATCCCTGGAGAATCATCTGTAGCTGTTGTTTAAGACCACAGAATCAGTGACCCATTCACTGTCAGTGAAGCATCACCAGAAAGTGTCTCCCAGCGACATCCGACATTCATCTGGATTCTTTTTCCTCGGCTTTGTAAGAGACATTTTCATGTAAATAATTCAACTCTAAACTATTGAAGATAATAGAAATAACATGTGGATTGTAATTTGTGTGGATTTTGAGTCAGACAAAAGGATCACACGGTTCCAGGAACGTTTTCCAGACAAGCTAGAGGCGCTCTATAAGCAGCGTCTGTCATAACAGTATTAAAAATGCTGTAGAAGCATCCAGTAACATCTGGGTTAGGATGAGATGCGGAGGCCCCACTCCCATCAGCCCCTGTCACTGATTCACTTCATAAAATTCTAAATATTTTACTGACACCGGATCAGATTTGTAGTTTGTCTGAGCTGTGTTTCATTCCACTTGGATGGTAAAGCTAGAACATGATAGCACATCAGCGTGAGCGTCCAAGTTACCTGGTAAACTATGGTTATGGTATGATGTAGTGGTTCTGCTGGTTCAACGTTTTGCCCACAGATATATCTGTCTGCGAGACTTTGTGAGTGTAATTCATCGCACTGAAGTTCTCCACAGATGGAGAGAGGAGGAGACATGCTGAGATTCCTGAAGCAGGATGTTAAACTGCAGCTGAACGCCAGCCAGTGGCGGATTATCATGATTGATAGAAGACGATGGAGTCATTTGTACAGTGTAAAATGGCTCATTTATGATGGATGTTAAGTTGCATGCATTCCCGCTCTTTAACTGGGGGAAAAAAGGGGGGATTTCTGTCACCAAGTACATGCATATGATTTACAAATCATTCCCTGTGTCCGGCTGTGCCTGTGATAAAACTCAACTCCGCAGTGAGCGGAGGAATTTTGTAGACAACGTCAGAGGGTTAAAAAAATAAAATAAAATGTGCTCATTAGTTTTGATTAGGGGAATTAAAATCCTGTATTTGCTGTGTGTTGTAGGTGTGTGACCTGTCATTCAGCTTGAAGAAGATGCTCAGCAGACACAAGCTGACACACAACCCTAACCGGCCGATGGCAGAGTGCCAGCTGTGCCATAAGAAGTTCACCAGGAACGACTACCTCAAAGTACACATGGAAAATGTCCACGGGGAAACAGAGAGCTAGAGGCAACTATGGAAGCACTGGCTGAAAATATCTGATATCTGATTCCTCAGATAAAGTTCAGTCCCATGCTTCATGCAGCCGGTACCGCCTTCACATACACAGATGGATAGATAGCAGAAATGTTGTTATTAAAGATACATACATGTAGACTATGGAAAACATAAGGGACTGTTTTGAAATTGAAACGTAGACTGTACATTTGTAATTTTTTTGTCATACTGTTTAGATACTGCTTTGAAAACCTGTACAAACAAAACTCCACATATGTTTGATCTGCCTCCAGAGCCGCTGCGTCTGCTCACAGGCCAAATGAAATGTCGGACATTTCACTCCCAGTCCTCCTGACTTCTAACCAGTGTTACTGTTCATACTGTTACAGCCTGACCTCCTTCACTGTGGTATTCACTGAATACCTTACTGTAAAACTGTGGTAGTGGCAGTAAAAAAAAAAAAAAAAAAAAAAAAACTGCGACCAAAGATCTTTAAAGACACTTTTTAATTTACCTGTACACTTTCTACATGTTGCTGTTCTTTTGTGTTCTAACATGTTTACTATTTAGACTCTGTTAAGCCCCAGAGCACACTTTAAAGCATGTTGGTCCATTTATGATTTCAGAATATCACCTTTCTGTCATAGTATTAAAAGGGATAGTTGAACAGCAGATGGAGATGGAGAGGTGTTAACATGACAGCTAGAAAGTTTACATGCTTCATTCTCCTTTAAAATCTGCAGGATGCTTGTTGCACCGTGGGATAGTTGATGGGAGCTTTCGGATTTTCTCTGAAATGTGAAGGTTGTTCAGTTTTAGGTTTGATTAGCTGGATAACTGTTGGACCTACAACATTAACTTAAGATGATTTGGTTCAACTGTTCCTTCCTTTCCCATGACCTGGGCTCTGAATGAAGAGCAATGGTGCTTTAAGTGTGTCACTGTTTCTACGTCCCATATTTGGGACAAAAAGAAAATCCAAAGTACTGTTTGTTGACTTTTGTGACAGATCGTTTTCATATGAATGGCCCAGGGGTTCTTGGGCCTTACAGTGTGTGTTTACATCCTTCTTTATTAATGATAGTTCAATTCAGTATTTCATGTATTTCAGTAGAAGTGCAACTCTATCCTGTTTTATATCCACATTCATTTGCTTCCTCATTTACTGCCCCTCTGATTAATGTCCAGTTTTCCAGCTGTTTATTCTGCATCTGTCGACTGTGAATTGTCACTTCACACTTTTATATTTTGAAATGTATAAAACCTCGTCACCTACCAAACATCCATTTCCTGCGCGCGTTCTAATTATGTGTTTGTGAACTGTTGATGTTGAGGGAGGGGGGAGGGGGGAGGAGGAGGAAACGCTTTGAGAGTTGATTAAAATTGTTCACTTCTCGTCATTCATCTAACCCCTATTCTTGGGTTGGCAGTGTGCTGGGAGTGAAGGCTAATTACTTTTTTTTTTTTTTCTGAGGCCACAGTCACCACTCGCCTGATCTGTAAAGCCACACACTAAAGAGCGTCTCTGATGGTTTCTCTCTGTGGATGCGGGGACTCTCTCTCATGTCCGTCCCCTGCAGAGGATCTCTGGTATCTCAGGATTTGACTGTGAGAATCTCACAGCGGTGCAGTGAAGTGGGAGCGCCGCGAGTCGTCATCGCTCTGTGAAGTTTGTCAAATGGGCTGCTGCTCAAACTCAATAAATCTTGCCATGTGTGGCTTTGGCTTCCTGAAAACACATAACTATTGCAGTATGTCTATCTTCACGTCTTTGAGTGTGCGCTGTTTGTTTAACAATTAACTAATTATGGGTATTCATGTTAGATTACATTTCAGCTTCACTGCTCACAGCGAAGAAATCAAAACCTGCACGATGTCTCCACACTCCTATCAGCCGCTGTCAGGCTTCAGGAGAAGCATGGTTAGTGATGACTCTCAGTTCGCATGTGGCCAAGTTCACCCGCTCTCCCTCTGGTGCTTGGTTCTCTGTGTGACCGCGCAGGGCGTGGCCCCAGCCACCGGGCCCCGCTGAGGCCCAGGCTGCCCACTGAGCTCGTGCTGCCCGCCGCCTGCTCAGTAGTGGTGAGGCCTCTGGGCCATACTGACGCACTCTCAAATACAGTGGCATTTATATTGCATCTTGTAAACAGTAGTAGTAGTAGGGATTTGCAACAGTGGAAAATTAGTGTCTGCCACATGTCTGTCCTGGAGCAGCTGACAGGTCAGACTGGGTGCTGAGATGTTCCTGCTTCTCATTATCGCTCTGCTCTTCAGTCTCGATGTGTCTCGCCTGTCACTGTCCTTGTCTCTGTTTTTCCATTTTTGTCTCATAACATTTGATTTTCTCCTGGGACTTTCCCAGTGACCCGGTGATCTCGTCCTCCACTTCAATGAGTTTTTTTTTTTTTCCCTGCATGCATCTCTGCCTGCATGCGTCTCTCCCTTCCTACTGGGTGTATCACGCCAAAGCTCCAACTCAATGTGTTTCTAATTACATGTTTTTACTGTAAGCCCCAGTTTCCTGTGTTGCCTCCACATTTGTGAGTGTGGCCAGACTGGGCCCCGACCAGCGTCCACAGAGCCGAACGCCGGCCCCGCCCACTGCGCAGGAGTATGATTACCACCGCGGCCCCGGGTTTATGGCGAACCGCTGTCACGTTAGGAATGACACGGACACGCTTGTCTGACCTCTGTGTTTGGATAATGTTGCCATAGCAACAGGTAGCCTTTCCTTCCACGACCCTGGACCGGAGTACTGTGGAATGCGAATGCCCAGAGAGTAGTGCCATGTGGAGGAATTTTAATACGATTGGGCAGGGTGTGTTTGGGTATTCTGGGTCACCCTTTCAGCAGTGATGGACATTCTCTCAAAGCTGTGTCTCCATGGAAACAGACTGTGGAACTTGAGTAAGCTAAAAATCCTTGACACTGAAAACCAGTAAAAGGTCAAACGCTTCAGCCAAAGGGCTTGAGCCGAAAAACTTGCCCGTCTCAATAAAACACACACACACACACACACACACACACACACACACACACCATTCTCACAATATTTCTGTCTTGCTTGCTAACAGACAAGATGGTTCTAATTTAATCTTCAGACACCACTCCAGGCTAGAGAGTGGTGTATCAGGTCAGGTAGACAAGGATTCTTTCATTAGGAGGAAATGAGGAGAGGAACTGTCATTAAACTGCTCACAGATACTCCCCAACCCCGACACACAGCCCCAAACTGCATTTATTCACAACCATTAAGGAAGAACAACAGAAAACTGAGGTATCATCTTCTCTGAATTCAGGATTTTCCATCCGTCATTCATTGCAGAATTTAATTTCAAGCTGCTGTAATCAGAATGTTTATATTGACAACACAACAAATAACCATGTGTCATGTGAAAGTGATGACTTGTAGTGATAAACCCACAACGAATTATCACCTGACTGCAGTTCTCCTCAGCTACACACAGGCTTTCAGCGTCCTGAAGCGCTTTGTTTTGGTTTTATGGCCCATAACTTTACTTCACTACTTCACTCTCATCAGCCTTGTTCCATTTAAGCAAGAAAACATAAAACTCTGGGATTGGCTTTTCTGAAATTGTATATATTTCTTTGCATTATCATGCATGAATTTATCTTAAAGCTGCTATGATTAATATTTATTTCAACAATGGATCAAACATCTGTGTTTAATGTGAAAAGAGTTGCTCATAGTGACAGTCCCTTCAGTTGTATGGAGGAGTTTAGCATCTTCAAGCTTCTTGTTTTAGTTTTACAGCCCACAAATTGACTGGTTTGGTTCAGTCTTACTATTCTCATCAGTGTTGTTTCCAGATGTGGCCGGCAGCTTCAGCTCTACAGCTATTTAAAACACTGTACGTAACCTCCACAGCACCAAACAGCAGACAGACACAGGTAGTGACTAGCTAGTGAACATAATGTAGGGTTTAGCTGCTAAAGAGCTTAAAAATGTTGACATCAGTTTCCACCAGAACAGTGGCCAAAAAACTGATTAATGCAGATATGAATAATTATAGCATGAATCAAACATGAAATAGTTTCACTTCTAAAGCAAAAAATTGGACCATGTCTCGTCGTTCGACGTCAAACTTAGTTTCCCATGTGGAGAGTTTAGCCTGTGAAACCAGAGTGGAAGTGTATTGATGGGGAAGCAGCGTACACTGATTGTTTATGTTTGAATCGCCTGCAGGAAATGGAACCACATTTGAAGCACTGGAGCACAATGGTGCCTTGGACTTGAGAAAGACGAGAACTCGACAATTTACAGAGGCTGAAAGCCGGCCAGGAAATGCTACAGAAGAACAACGCAGAATTGTCTCCTTTTCCCAGTTTTGTCCTCTCTGATGTTAAACTCTGTAAGAAAGACTCGGCCTGCACCAAGTACAGCTGCTAATTCCAATAAACAAGAATGTTGACTTTCCCTAGATGTGAAGAAATACAGGAGATGAAAGGTCCCGCAGTGAGTTACAGAGACATAGAGGCTCATTCTGAGAGGCTGGGGGGTTAAAGACATCAGTCAGTGTGTCTGTCCACCTCAGGAGCTTTGGTGTTGGCCAGTTCTGTCAGCACATTGTTGCTGTTTGCCATCACTCCTCAGTCTCATTAGGAACTACAGTGCTGTCCTCACTTCATACTCTCTGGTTGGATGTCTCCTCACGTGGCTGTGCATTGTAGCAACAGAGCAGATAAGAAAAGTCAGACTATGCCGACAGGTTGCTCATTTACAACGTGTGATTTTACACAACGGACCACAGGGGTAAAAGACACGATGCTCACGTAGTTCTCAAGTTCAGCTTTCGAAGTACAAATTCAACTTGGCAGAAAACACACAACAAAACAGAAAAATCCAATAAGATTTTGACCTTTGCCGCAGTTCAGTGTGAACCACGAAGGAGAAAATGTGTGTGATGAGCTGCCAGAACCCAAATTCAGCCCATTCTTTTTTATTGAATATTTGAAGATGCTGTGTAAAAGGCTGCTTCTCCTGCAGCT